AAAAAAAAAGGAGGGCTATTTGCACTCAGATTGATATAGCCAACAACACTTAGAAATGTGTCCAGGTTTCCATGCAGCTCACTCTACATCCCAGGGTATAAATAGAAATGCACAGTTAACCTCCAGTCTGAAGAAAAGCCAGGCCTGTCTTTTCTTCTAAGGAATTTGCCTGTCTTGATCAGTACAATCTGATGCTCTGGAAATTTCTTCCTCTGCCTTTTAAAGAACTGTTTCTGTCATTGAATTTCACACATCTAGCAAACCACTCTTATAGTCAACATAAAATAAAGATTCTCTCATTGAAAGGGAATTTAAACACTTTGTTAGGTGGCCAGGGGACATTTAATCACAAGACTTTCTATAGAGGAAGCTGAAGTGAAAGCTAAGTACCACAGAAATAATAACCTACTGGTAGTGGAGAGAGAGTCCCAGGTTCAAATCCTTGTTGGGGATCGTGGGCTAGTCACCTCTCCTCTCTTCTGGGAAACCAAGTTTCAAAAACATGCATTCATTCTACAAAGCTGTATGGCCGGAACAGGAGGGCAGTGTGACTGAAGAGTGAATGAGGTGGAAAGTGGCAGGTGAGGCCCCAGAGGCAACACGGGCCAGATCATTTGGCTTTTACCTGGCTTGAGAGTGGGAACTGTATTTATTTCTTGTGGCTGCTACAACAAATCACCACAAACTTAGTGGCTTAAAATAACACAGATTTAATTATCTTACATTCCTGGAGGTCAAATGCCCAACCTCCAGCAGATCTCACTGGACTGAAAGCAAGGAGTTGGCAGAGCTGAGTTCTCTTCTGCATGCTCCAGGGAAGAATCCGTGTTTTTGCCTTCTCCAGCTTCTTAGAGGTTGCCCGCATTTCTCACATAATGTAGTGAAATCTGCAGGTTATTTATCCGCATCGTGTCCACTTCCTCATCCATAAAATGGAGATGGTAATACCTACCCCAAAGGGCAATTGTGAGAATGTAGATGCTTCTAAAGTGCTTAGCACAATGCTTCCCATTTATTATGCTCTTGATGTATGATAGCCATTATTATTAATATGGCTGTGGGGAGCCATTGAAGAATTTTTAGCAACCAAGTGACAAGATCAGATTTGTACTGGAGTAAGATCACTCTAGCAACAGTGTGACTTGGACGGTGGAAGGAAAAGGATTAAAATCATGCTATTGCTTTGGTGACTTTACAAAGACTGCAAAATAGAAGCCAAACTTGCCCTGATACTCCAGCCCTACATAATTTGGCTCAATCCTACGTTACGGTCTTACCTCTATCTCTTCCTCTCTGCACTGACCTTATTTATACCACTCTCCAGCCATCCTGGGCTCGGTTTCCCTAAACTCTATTGGATTTCCAACTTCTGAACTTTGGCCACCTGATTAGAATGCCCTTCTAATTATCAAAGACCAATGCAAATTTCATTTGCCCCAAGAAGCTCCCCACCTTCCCCAGCCTGAATAAATCCTTCGTCCTCCATTTAAGCTAGAATTGCCCATCTATGCTAATTCTCGATCCTCTCTCCGTCCTTGGCAGCCCAGAATAGGCAAACTTGGACATAGATAATAAGATTAGTAGAGCTTATCTGGAGTTTCTCTCCCAGCACCTGAAATTGAAATAGCAAGTCACAATAGGCACCAGAAACATAAGACCCTCTAGATTTGAGTACAGAGCTGGTACCTTCCAAAGCTGCCTGCACGCTGAGGCTATGGGGAAGTAGGAACCAAGAGCCTTATGGAGGAAAATGGCACAGACTTGCAGAGAGATGTAGAGACAAGTTAATGGATGGGGACGGGGCCAGAAGGAATGAGAGAGAGAAACAGCTCTCTCACTCCTAGGTTTCTGAGAGATCACCAGCTGAACATCTTGCAGCTGAGTTCCCAGAGATTCCTCAGTCTCCTTAACGTAAATCCAATTTCAGTTAACTTAGCTTGAAGCAGTTTCTATTCCTTGCAATCGACTGTCCCTGTCCCTGAACCAGAAGGCTGCGGTCCCACAATATACTGAATACTGTCTCTTCCCATCAGTTATGTAGGTGTTTGCCTGCTTCCACCTGGACCTGGCTCCCCCAGTGGCAGGGACTCGGCCCTATTCATTCAGTATTCGCAGAACTCAGCACATGTTAGATGCTCAAAAATAGTTGTTGAATTTGAATTCTGACAGTTCACAAAACAGTTTAATGTATTATTTTTAGGCAATCATTCTAAACTTCTCTATGCCTTCCCCATATTTTGCTATATTTGCATTATTTTATATTACTATATTATTTTTATCAAGGTGTCGCACTACTTATAAACTCTCCTTATGCACATGCTTTGGCTTTCTCATCCTCTTTGGTGGTGACCAGAAAGGATTGGGAGTTTAGCAGCAGAAGTGATCCATGCCTCTATCCAGTTGGTGAGAATGCTTGTCTTGCATCTTCCTGTATTCAACAGCCTTTACCCTTGAAATAGATACTTCTCATGAAGGCTGTTGGGGCAGCTTAATTCCAATGATGTCATTTAAAACTCATTAAAAGGTCAGCAGGCAGGCTAAGTACCTTCTTCCTTCAAATACCTACTTAGATTTTCAAGCTGGGGCCAAAAGTTCTCAGACTCTTGAATTTCTATGAACCAGCATTAATATTAAAGGGGGAAAAAAAGGTTGCTGAATTTACATTCTCCTAGGGAATGTTATTAAAAATAATAAGCTTCTGTTAATACAGCATCACCTCCTGCAATGCACAGGAATCTTCCGGCTCCAAATGGCAATAGTGCTGAGGTAAAGAAACCCTGGGTTAGCTGAATGACCTAGTGAAATTTAAAAGCAGCAAAGCTCTTAAGCTGGCAGACAATGGCTACCCCAGGCCTGAGAGGAGGGACAGGGTCAACACTCCCTGACATTTGGATTTTTAAAGAGATGAGGCACACAAAATGCTTAATACTGTGCCTAGCACATAGTTAATTCTCTATAAATATTATTGTAAATGTTCAAATTAATGTTACCATTTTTAATACAAGAAAAACATTTTATCTTCCCCAAAGCTGTGCTGAGCTCCTCCATGGATTCGGAGTGCACCCCTCGGGAGACAAGTTTTACTGTGGAATCAAATGGATTTCAAAGATTAGAGGTTCCCAGAGGTCATCTGAGGAATAAGAAAGAGGCGGGAGGTGGAGAGGAGGAGGAGGACCCTGTGAGATGGCGTGTGACACCAAGGACTCTCTCTCAAGAAAACCACCTACTTACCTTGTAGGTGAGGAGGTGGTTTAGGAATATTTTAAGATGCGGGAGGGCTTAGCATACAGTTTGAGGATTTCGTATCTCAGTAATATGAGGAACGATTTTTTTACTCCGCCCCTTCTCTAGCTTCATTGACATTTTCTACAATGGTGCATAAGTGCTATAAACAAGGCTTTTGGCGGAAATCAAGGAAGGGTCTACATTTTTCATCTGGGTTGAAACAGTGTAGAACTGAGGCAGCATCCCAGAAGCAGAGGCCAGGAGCCAGAGATAACTGCAAAACAAGTTGCCTGGAGCTCCCAGAAACCCCAGCAGGGCCTTGGACTTCGGATGTGGAATGTAGGGTTTGAGCCTTGTTCCTCAGCAGGCACCTGTCTCACATCTTCGGAGTAAACAAGCCATCTGGTCTTACACCTGGGCCTGAGTGAGATGAGATGGGCCTGGTTCCCAAGTTCTGCACATGCTCCAGCCTGGACAGAATGGGGCCGAATTGTTTTTGTTCTAGAAGACTCAAGACAAACACTGGCTAGAAGATCTTCAAGGGCTAGAGAGAAGCCCTGCCCTTGCTCCTCAGGGCCATCCGGGACTGGTCTGACTTTTAGGTATGGAATCTCTGACCCTTGCAGGTGTAGAGGGAGAACTGTTGTGGTGTCTATGTAATCGGAGCCACATAACATTTATGATGTAACAACCAAGCAGTCAGAGGGCATGAGGAATAACAACGTTGCTGGGCAACCTGGCTTCATTAACTCTACGGCTTTGGTCAAGGTGCCACCCTGTGCAAAACCTCTTTAAATCTTTTCTGACCCCCTCTTCCCAGTTCCTCCTTCCTGTGCATCAGGGAACTGATAAGCCCCCTTCCAACTCTAGCAATCTTGGTGTCATGGTACAGAGAAATGACCAAGGGCTTCGGGTTAATGTCAGACAAATCAGGCTCCATTGTGTCACCCCAGGCAATTTTCTTTGCCTCGGTGTGCCAGTGTTTGCATCTGTAAAATGGGTGGGGGCAAACAATAACTGCCTCGTAGATGGACTAAACGTGGTAATACACACGGGGCTTAACCCTCTGCAAGAGCCTGACAGTGAGCCACTGTTCATTTTCCAATCATCTGGCAAATTCATCTCATTCATCTTTCCTGTCCCAGCTCTTTTACTTACTTTCTTCTCATTTAAATTTCGACTGTCCACTTAGGCGCTAAATCTTATATCTTTTTTTCTCTCTCCCTCCTTCTCAGGGCCCACCCTCCCCAGACGCAGAAAAGCATCTGATGGTCGGATTGCTGGTCAGCGATGAAGGTCTCAGAGACAGTCAGTCCTCTCTTGTCCTTGGCTTAGGAAGTCTCCAAATGGCCAATTCAGCTCTTCTGCAGCGCTGCCCTGCAAGGAAAGCCTCCGCTAGCCCATCTCTCAGGGTCGCTAGTGAAAGAAACACACTGCAGCAGAGGTAACCCACAGGGACCACCGCCGCTGAGGCGGGATGGGAGCACTAATAGATAAGAGGATGACCAAGATCAAAAAACGTGCCACGCCATCTGCGCCCGGCCTTCTTATCCTCCAACTGGTGGCCCCAGTTATCCGCTCCTATTTCGACAGCGGCTCCAAAAGTGACAGCCACGTGGATCGGGGGGACTGGAGTGTTGGCGTGGGGGGCGGGGCTGGAAGGGAGCCGGAGATGGGAAAAAGGACCCGGTCGCGTACGCGCGCCGAGGCGCCGGCTGCCAAGCGACGCCGCCGGGAGCGAGTACGCTCCTGACGTCACGCGCCGTTCGTCCAATGAGCG